TAGAGAACTAAAAGTTTACTTTTTAAAGTTAAAGGACCAAAAATATACTTTAGCCTTTGTATTAAAAAAAGAAGGGATATATATGCTGTATCGCACAAAAAATTACATATAATTGTATTACATTTATTATTATTAATATTATTCAGCTGTAGAATTTTCAGTTTTTATATAAAATATGAAAGCCTATATTTATTTTGTAAGAATATTTTTATTTTACTATATTTTGTGTTATGAAGCATGGATAAAAGTTCAAAGAAAGAGTTTAATTCCAAAAGAGTAGGACTTGTTTGGATTGACTTATAAGTAGCTTTTCAAACGTGATTTACGGAGTACGAGATAAGTATGTGAAGAGAATTTTGTCTCGACTTACGTGAATTTATTTAAAAGTTTATTTTGAACAGAGCTCCAAACAAACTCTTAATCTATTGTGATGAAGAGCTCTGGTGGGACTCATAACAATACTCCACACCATGACACTTCATTCATCCTTTTACTACTTAGAAAACTTGATAAACACAAATTGAAAAGGAAACTATGATCCTAAAAAACTAGCATATGAGAAAGAAGGTTTCTTAAAATTACAAACTATATCAACATTTGTGAGGCTCTTCAATATCGGACTCATAACAATTTGATTCTATTTTTCACGTACCAATCAATAAATTACTTGTGAAAACTACAAAAGGGAAAAACAAAACAGAAAATTGATATCCATTTTTCACGTATCAATCAATTTAAGAATTTTTAAACAGTATAAAAAGAAAGCTAGATGATAATAAGTATATCATTACACTATTATTGTAGTGCAGCTGAAAGGAACCTAAGAACAATAATATTTGGGATTCAATGCATAAAAGGAGACACAAATGTGTGAATTGATAAGGAGAATGATGGTTATAAATATAAAAAACAGGTCACAATCTTATACATGCAAAGATATCCGACATTCAAACCATATATCCCCATCTCGATGTGAGCTTCCATTTGCTTCATTTCTCCTTACTTCTGATAATGTTATGTATCCTTAAAAGTAGGAAATAATGGAGAGATTTGCTTTGATTATATATCAATTCACCTTGTTTTCTGAATTTATGATTTGTCCTCCAAATTATTCTTATTAGTGTTTTGTTGGAAGTACTTTTCAGTACAAATAATTTAAGAAATATTTCAGGAAAGTAACACATTTCTCACAAACATATATATATATAGAGTACTGTAGTTGGAAATGGGAAATAATATATTCCAGCTAAGATGCAACTATTCTATTTATTTATTAGAATAATTTTAGTCATCCATTTGGGAAAATGCAAGACTTAGGAACTTGGAGGTAAGGATTTTGTTTTCTTTTCCTAAACATAAGCATCCTCTTATTAAAAGTTTTTTTTGGAGACATTATTGGGCATGAAATGTGGACACTTTTTTTAAGTGGAATTCAATTATTTATTTGTCATGTTGTAAAGAACTAGGCATTTTCGCTAAATCTAACTCCTATCAAAAGTAAGAATTGATAATGAAATAGTAGATCCAACCTTTTTTTTTGGGGCTAAATTGAGATTTTTTTTTGAAAAAACATACTATCTCCGGTCCTTAATATGAAAATTAGTTTAACTTTCAGTTTGGTTATAAATATAAGATTCAAATTCATTTTATTTTTTATATTTAAAATTTTTTCAAAGTAATCCTTATAATAGTTGCACATATTAAAAATTCTATCAAATGGTTATTCTAGCTAATAAACATGATTAGCAAGAATATTTGATGGGATATGAACAAACCCTTTTCCATCAATATTGTAGAGAAGATAACACCTATTTATTGTAAATAACTGACTTAATGATTTTTTTTAATCTATTCAAATTAATCAACTAGTTATTATATTAAGGACTAGAAGTAGTAGAAAATAATATACTACAAAAACAAACAGAGTTAGTTAATATTTGGCCCAAAATTCCAGCAGCCTAGGCCCAAATTTCAACAAATATTTGAGCCCGTTTGGCTTTGCCGCTTACGCTTCATAGGCCCATTCCTTCGCTGAAGGTACATGTGTCGTTTAGATTTCTCCTGCGTGGCAAAATGCTAACCCAGGATTTTTCTTTATTTGCCGTTTGGTTTGGGGCAACAATATATTTATAATATTAAAAATATAATACTACCTCTAATCCTAATTATAATAACCAGTTGACTAATTTGAGGAGATTAAGAAAGTAAATTAAGTTAATTATTTGTCCTAAATAGGTGTTATCTTTCCTAAAATATCCTTATTAATCAAGTGTACTGACTAGAACTATCATTATTAGAAGGGCTATTTTGAAAAAATATATACTCCTCCGGTCCTAATTATAAGACCCAATTGACTTATTTGAGGAGATTAAGGAAGTAAGTTAAGTTGGTTATTTATAATAAATAAGTGTTGTCATTCCTAAAATATCCTTACTAATTAAGTATATTGGCTAAAACTATCATTATTAGAAGGATTATCTTGGAAAAAAATGCATAAATATAAGAGACAAAATGGATTGGGTCTTATAATTAGGACCAAATAAAAAGTCAAATTGGGTCTTATAATAAGGACCGGAGGAGTATATAAATATGAGAGACAAAGTAGATTGGGGTCTTATATTTAGGACCAAAATAAAAGTCAAATAGGGTCTTATATTAAGAACCGGAGGTAGTATAATATGATTAAAAGCATATATATAAATATATATTGATTGTTCCGTGTGAATTTTCACATTTCAGAAACACCAAATACTTTTTCATTTTGTTGGGCAAAAAAGAATATTTTTCATTTTTAATGGTCATTCAAAACAAGTCCTTAAAATTGGAAGGCCATATCAGAAAGAAAGCAGTATTAGCTACTTTGCTCATGTATATGGAAATTTAGTGCAATTGAAATATTCAAATATATGAATCTGCTATCAGCTTTGTGGTTAGAGATTCTAAAAGATGGTTGCAAGATGGATTCGTGAAGAAATCCAAGGCTTCTTCTGGCATTATGGCAGAAGCAATAACAATGGAAAAATTGGTCCGATATATTGTTAATAACAGATTTGGATTTGGAAAACATAGCCTTTCAATCTTTTTTCTTTTTGGCAACAACACGACCTTAGAATCTGATAACGAAGAAATTGCATAAATAAGAATGTTATTAATTTGGTTTACGTTAATCTGCATAAATAAGTAATGGTAGGGTCTTTTGTTCTTCTTTGTACATTGCTTTGAGTAATAAAATTTCTTTCACTAAAAAAAGAAAAAAGAAGTAAGGGTAGGGTTTTGGATGTGAAAAAAGGTGAAAGGTCGAGTTCTTAATTCTTGTTCATAACCATTTATTAATTTAAAGTAAATAGCTCTGTACCATTCAGCCAAAAAATAGAAGTTAACTTTCCGCTTATCTTTGACAAAACTGAAATCTACAAACTTAACAAACTTAAAATACGCGACTCCACTGGGGATCGAACCCAGAGTCTCTGGTTCCGTAGACCAGCGCCTTATCCATTGGGCCATGGAGTCATTTGATGCTGCGAGGCATTAACAATAATAATTTAACACTGCGAATATGGCTCACGAAGAATTCATGAAACACTTAATTACGATTTTGATTTGATTAAAATTCAACTTTGAAATATTGATGCAATACAACTCTTCATTAAAGTTTTAATAATATGAAATATTGGTCTCTAAAAAAATGTACATAAGGACTAAAGCTATTTTTAAAGTTTAAAGATTAATATTTTAAATGACTAATACTATAAGAATTAAATTGTACTGAGTTAAGATTTTGAGTTAAGTCTGAACTGAATTAAAATTAAAAATTGAGTCAAATTGAATTAAAATTTAGAGATTGAGTTATAAGCAAAGTAATATGATTAATTTTTTTGAAAGAAAAATTAGGGCATTTTCATTTCAATGGCGCATGTGACTTCCTAATGATGCTCCATAGGTATTCACAATGGATTCATAATCTTGTCGCAATCTTAAAAAAAAATTCACTTTATTAGTTTATTTAGGGTTAGTATAATCTTTGATCATTTAAATTTATCAACATTTTGGTTTTAATCTCTTAAATTTCAAATTATAGGTTTTGGTTCCTCAAAGAACAAAATGGTCCAAATTTTTATCAAATTATAGGGATTATTGTTTGACATGAAAATAAACTTAAGGGAGAAAAACCTATAATTTAAAACTTGATAGACCAAAATTAAAATGGGGGCAAATTTAGAGGATAAAAAATTATGTTAACTTTTTATTTTATTTGAATAATTAAAGCGAGCTTGTAGCGTTGCATTGAAACTGAAGCCATTCCACTAGTACCAATTGCCAAATACCAATCATGCATGTCGGTAAATCATATTAACAACTTTGTTAACCATATGATTATATTAAAAACTAATTATGAGTAAAAAGTTAAAATCCAGTAACATCAAACATAAATATTCCCTCCCATTCTAAATATAAGAGCCTGTAAAGAGATTTATTTTGATTTGATATATAAGACCTCAATTATCTTAGTCTGTCAAAAAATTATAGCAATTTTTTTTCCTAATATATTTCTATTAATTGCAAATAAAAAGGAATATTTTATTAGGAGAGTAGTTTTTAATACAAATGATTAAAATGAATAGTTTTAAAAAATAACATATATTTTTTTACAAATAACTAATTTAAATATTTTTTAATATATGTAAATTAATTATCTAATTTTTTATATTTAAATGGAAGAAGATATGATTATTTTAGGGAGGGAGTGAAAAATGGGAGAGATTGATGGTGGCATTTGTCGGTCATGCAAGACAAAGGAGCCACCAGAAACGCCTCCTGATTCGACTCGCCACGCTTTCCAGCAAAGCATTGTCAGTTTACCACCCAAAGCTTTTCCGTTTTTTTTTTTCCGATTTTTTTCATTAATTCTTTTAATTATTATACGAAATTATTATTAGAAGGCGTTAATTCCGAAGCATTCATTTTTGGCTATAAATTCCGACTTCCCACTGCAAATCTCCATAGCCAGACTGACACAGAGAAATAACAGAGGAAGAAAGAAGAAGAAGAAGAAAGAGCTCTTTTTTAACTCCGATCACTCCAATGGCCACTCTGGTTTTCCCCAACCAGCACTCTCCTGCTGAAGATGCTGAGTCTATCCACAAGTGCTTCCAAGGTATATGTGTGTGTGTGTAATATTTTTCCCTTTCAAGTTTTTTTTTCCTTCCTTTAATTCTTAATACTCTTTTTCCTCATGCATTAGATTTATTTTAATATAAGCTGTTCAAAAAGTACAGTTTTATTTATAATCAGTCATTGAGTTGAAATATAATCTTAAGTCATTTGGATCAGATTTGTTGTTTGGTTGTTTTTTCAGTTAAGTTTTAGAATATGAAGATGTCATTTTCTTTGGATGTCTTCTTCTTCTTACTTCTTTTTTAAATTTGGGTTTTGATTTTAAGGCATACTTAACAAAACTTTAAAGGAGGGTTTGGCTTTTTTATGAAATACTAAGTAACATTACCTTCGATCTTAATTATAAGATCTCGTTTGTAGACTATAAACAAGATCTTGTAATTAAAATCAGAGATAGTAATATAATTAGGTGGCCTACCTGCCTTAGAAGCAAAAGATGAAAAGGCTATGTGTGTGGCCAGCTCATGACTATAAATGCAAATCTTTGCCTTAGAGGGAAAATTTTTTATCTTTTTAATAACTATTTATTTAATTATTTAATATTTGATATAATTCAACACTTTATATTCAAATTTTGTTGTCAAATTAAATAAGAAATTTTGGTTGCTCACAGCTTTGATTATCCAACTAATTTATCCGGTCATGGACTAGTGATAGGAGCATGAAGCCATCTTATTTTAAGCACGTAAACCAAAAGAAAATAATAAAAATTTGATTTTTCTCTTAAAACAGAGAGGCAATAAATAAATAAATAAATAAAGATTATGTGAGATTTATTGTGTAGGTGGCGTCCATCTTTCTATTCATTTTTTTGGTTAAATGAATTGCCTATATTCAACTCTTCCATAAAGGGGCAAAAGGAATCTTGCAATTTTAGGATTGATAATAAAGAAAAAGGAAGGACTCTTCAAGACAAAAACCTAAAGGTTCTTTTTCCTTTAAAATTTCTCATACTCTCTTACAAAAAAATCATTAGTGCAAGGACAAAAATGTGAGAGATCTCAAAGATCTCTTCTTTCTTTCGTTTTTATTTCCAGCCAAAGAGATCTCAAAGATCTCCCATTTCAAGATAAGATCAATTTTTTGAAATTTCACCTAATTTGTTCCTTCTTCTTTACGTGATAGAGAAGAGGCAATTAAACTTCAATATCAATATTAATATTAATAAAAATATAAATAATACGGGCATTGTTCAACATAAATAATACCCCTACGTATTTTAGATCAACCCTACTTGAGCAATTAATTAATACTTTAGTCCCAAATATAAATCATTTTAACTAATTTATGATTTTCAATATTAACTGATCTTATTAATTATACTAAATTTTAATTTCATACTAATTTTTACTCTCGCTCACTATTATTATTGAATATGAGCATATATAAAAATATTTAATATTTTTTAAAAACATCAAATGTCTTGTAAAAATAACCTATAATATTTTCTGCAAGATCTGCTATGTATATAATAAGAGGGAGCACAATTTTACTATTATTCATAAATTACAGCCTGCCAACTATAGCGTCTTTTACAAATTTGCATAAAGCTAATTCATTAGTAATATGATAGCTGGCAATTGTACTATTTTCATCCATGATCCTGCTTTCGGTGTGAAATTTAACTAATCTTTCTTTCAACAAAAAATTCAGCAATTTAGCGTCCGCGTGACTGACTCATAATGTGCAAATTCTGACTCATCAATTCATTTAAACCATGCCTATAATCATCAAACAAGATATTCTTCTGATCTTATTTACAGGATAAAGAAAGAAAATATTTTTTGATTATATTTATAAGACAGTAAGAACATTTTTTTATATGAATATATAATTTTATTTTTTATTTATTATTGTGCTGACTTTATTTGTATGAGTTATGATGTATATTAAATAGGGATAAAATTGATTAGTTGTTGAATTTTAAACGAGAGTAAATAAAATTTAAATTTTTTTTAATTTGTGTGAAATACGTTGAAAATAAAAATAAACATGCCTTGTTGAGTCAAATTTAGCTCCATATAAGGCCAAACTTTGGAACTAGAGAATCACAAAATCAATGTAAATGATTCTCCCAATAATCCCATGATGGTTTCAGAACTTGGATGTATGCTATGCGTACAATGCCAAACTTGCCCTTCACGAAATTTCCGAGGCAAGGTTAAATAAATAAATAAATTATTGACTTTGGTACAGACCAATGGGAGAAACACACTTTCATAGCCATAAATGTTTGAGATTACATAAATTTATTTGATAATGTACAGTCCATAAGACTAACCACTACACAGAAGACAAAGTGTCAGCAGAGCGGCGCTGATATATATAGAACTCTAAAGACTATTTTCATTATCACAAAGCTTCAATTACGCCCAGAGACTAAGATAACATTCAACCATGGCTACCCTTATTTTTCCCACTAATCATTCTCCAGTTGAAGATGCAGAATCTATACGAAAGGCTGTGGAAGGTTCTGATTTTCTGATGAAAACCCATCTATTTCTTCCTAAGCATTATAGAGTTTTGGTTTATGATCCTGACTATGTTTACTGGCTGACTTCTATATTATCTATGGATCATTTCAATGTGAATTCAAATCAGTAGTTTAGCCGCATAATCTGATATTGATTTGTTGTGTGTTTTTCAAATTTGTAGGATGGGGGACTGATGAGAAGAGCGTAATAACAATCCTGGGTCACACAAACACTTACCAGAGGCAGCAAATCAGAAAGGCGTATGAGGAACTTTACCAGGAGGATCTTGTCAAACGCCTCGAGAAGGAGATCTCTGGCGACTTCGAGGTAACATTGGTTATTAAGTTGTTCATCACCATGGCTGTCCTGTTAGAGATCATAGTAAAACAGTTCATAGCTTCTTCACTTAACAGAGTGAACTATTGAATTGAAAGTCTTTAACATGGTCTGATGACAAAACGGTCAAGAGTTCAAATCAATTCTTAATCATTCACTTATTTGTTGACAAATCTTGTGTGCAAAACAGAGGGCTGTGTATCGGTGGATTCTGGAACCGGCAGATCGTGATGCGGTGTTGGCCCATGTGGTCATCAAGGAAGGGAAAAACTACCATGTGATTGCAGAAATTGCCACAGTGCTCTCCCCTGAAGAACTGCTTGCTGTGAGGCGTGCTTACCTCCATCGCTACAAGCACTCATTGGAGGAAGATGTGGCTGCTATCACTTCAGGCCATCTTCGCCAGGCAAGTTCATCATTTCCTCCAACTTTTTTTTTCTTTCCATTTTTAGATGATTAAGTGAAATCTTCACAAAACATAACGGTGAAAAATGGTCAGCTAAGCCTTTAGTGGGTTTGTTTAAGAAAAGAAGTAAGTGGAAGGTGTTTAGGTGTGGTAATGTGGTTGTGAGTCTGTGGGGTTGTTTTTTGGGGCCAGCTTTTGGTGGGGTTGGTGACCTCATATAGGTACGTTGGAGAAGAGATCAATGCAAGATTGGCACAATCTGAAGCTGAGATCCTTCATGAGGCTATCAAGGAGAAGAAAGGAAGCCAGGAAGAAGTCATCAGGGTCTTGACCACAAGGAGCAAGACCCAACTTGTTGCAACCTTCAATCGCTACAGAGAGGCCCATGGAGCTTCCATTTCTAAGGTACCATACTTATCCATCAACCGAATTAACCAAAATCACATCCTTAATGTTTTTTTCCTCCTAAAATGTGTCTCCCAAAGAATCCCAGTATGTGACTAAACAAAGAGTTTGCTTTTTCTTCTTCATCTGTGCAGAAATTGGTGGATGAGACATCAGATGAGTTCCAAAAGGCATTATACACAGCCATCCGCTGCTTCAATGACCACACCAAGTACTATGAAAAGGTAAGGTTTCAATTTTTTATTCTTCCAAATGGGAGATCATAATATATAACACGATTATGAGCACAAAGAAACTAAACGAGGATTCACTGTTGGAGTAATTTCACCAAACAGGTGGTGCGCAATGCGATAAAGAAGACGGGAACTGATGAGGATGCACTGACCCGTGTGATCGTGAGCAGGGCAGAAAAGGACATGAGGGAAATCAAAGAACTGTATTACAAGCGGAACAGTGTTCATCTTGAACAGGCTGTGGCCAAGGACATCTCAGGAGACTACAAGAACTTACTCCTCGCTCTCCTGGGGAAGGAAGATTAAGGCTTTTTAAGTTGTTGTGAGGCCATTTTCTGATGATGATGGGTTTGAGTTAGAGAGTGGTTTGAATTTGAACTTTGAACTGTGTGGGATTTCGCTCTCCTTTTTTTACTTTGTGGTTTGATGAACCTCAAGCTGTGATATGCTTGGTTGGTTTGGTCGCCAGATGAATAATGGAGGATGGTTCATGTTTGCAAAATTCATCCCATACACTTCTAATTGAGTCACATACATTAAGGGAAAAATTAGTTGAGATTTTTTTCAAAAAAAATTATCAGAAAAGTTCAAAATCATTCTTAATTTATGTCATTGCATAATAAATGAGAGTATTTTTATCTGTTCATAAAGTTGAAAATCTTTAATTTCAATAAAAAAGATTTATCTGAACAAAATTTAAATATGTTTCGAACATTTTGTAAAATAATTTATATTAATGAACATAAAAAAGTTTAAAAAGTTTCGAACATTTTGTAAAATAATTTATATTAATGAACATAAAAAAGTTTAAAAAGTGTTTTATAATTAGAAAGGAAAGGAGTATTTATTTATTTATTAAAAGCATTAGAGAGAAGAGAAAGAAAATACATGAATCATGGTTAAATATCCGTATATAATAAAAAATATAGTCAGTATTTTTGTCAGAAAAAATATAGTAAGTTTAATAAGTTGTCAGGATCTTATAATCTAATGATACCAAAAATTTTTCAAATCTTTCTTAAATATGGGGTTGTATATTTAAACTCCTTGTAATAACTAATAAATATAGTATAGTATATTGTTAATAAATCCAAAAAAAACCTAATAAATAAGTGAATTATGGAAAAAATAAAAAGTATACTAAGGGTGTGTTTGGTTGGAGGGGAGAGGAGGGAAAATGAGCCCCTCCCCTCTTTTGGTTAAAAATTTTGGAGGGGAGGGAAGCCAAAATGTTCCCTCCCCTCCTCTCCCTCCTCCCATTTTAGCTCCCCTCCAAATTAGGGGTTTTTAAAGGGGAATTAAATTTTTAGACCATTATGCCCTTATGATTTTTTTGATATTCCATAACCACTCATAAAATATGTTATTATAATATTTATTTTAAATAAAAAATATATTATCCTAAGTAAAAAATAAAAAATATAAATTATTATAATTAAAAAATATATTATAATAAAAATTAATATAAATTATTATAAAAATAAAAAACATTATTTAAATAAAAAATTATAATATTATAAAATTAACTGTTTTTTTATAAATATATTATTTATTAAATATATTTTAAAGCTGAACAAAGGTATAGCTTAAAGAGAATAAAATTTTAATTTTTTTAGAGCATATAAAATTTTTTAATTTGATTATTTCAAATATATTATTATATTAATTAGAATTAAAAAAATACTGTACCAATTTTTTAATGCACATATTAACATGATAAGACTAAATTTTTATTAAATTATATGATTTAAATTAAGATGTAAATTAATTTATATAATATATCAATAAAAAATATAAACTAATATGTAAGGGTAAAATAGTAAATTGATTATTACTATCCATCCTTTTCCCTTCTTGAACCAAACAAAAAATCATTAAGTATCCCCCTCTCCTCCTTTTTAATCAAACCAAACAAGGTAAGGATGAAACCTCCCCTAACCATAATGATTGACTTTATTATTTGTTATTTTGTCAAAGAAAAGAATTCTTCCCATGTAAGAGAATTTGATAATTTGAAGGAAAAAAACATATTTTGAAGCAATAGAAGAAGATATAAACTTTAATTAATGAAAACTGATGAGTCCGTATTTTATAAAATTAATTATTACAGAACTGATTATTACGAATGAAAATTGACACGTAAAGAATTTAAAGGAATTCAAACTTATGTCTCATATGAATGGGAATGGACAAGAGAAAATGAGAAGGAACATATGAAAAATGAAATATGTCTTCATTGTTACCATGATCATCATATTATTATTTTATTATTTCAGTATTCTTCAACCAATTCATACAGAATAAAATAATATTTTTGTTCTTTTCATATCATATTGGATAGATATAATTAATTTTTTTATTAAAATATTAGTTGTAACTTGTAAGTGAGATATTTGGATATTTTCGACACATGTTCAGCTCTGCTGCATCTACATATCATTTTTAGGTAGGCTTGTCTTCTTTATTTTATTTTCATATTATATATTTTGGCTTAGTTTAAACTTTAAAGAAAGAACGCGTCATCCATTTCTTAAGATATTTCAGTGGTTAGTTCAACAACTCAACGATCAAACATACAAAAAAAAAAAAAAAAGAGCTAAAAGAGTTGACTTAATTTGCTTTTGTTGGCTAACCATTCCAAACAAGTTTTTCTAGCAACTCTCAATTTTTTTTATTACTTAAATTTTCAGATCCAAGTAGGCATCATGATTTGCGATTATGCAATCACATATCACATATCATGCCTAAACATATGCAGGCAGAGTTACATTTCAGAACTTTAAATTAGCACAACTAATTCTAGAAACACTTACCTATAATTTTTTTTTAAAAAATCTAATCATGTGGTAAAATTATTGCAGATTAAATCCTCACTTCTAACTTTCTTTTCTTTCTTTCTTTCTAAATCCTTACTTCTAACTTTCTTTTCTTTCTTTCTTTTTATTTATGCTCTGATCATATGTTTATTTTTCAGATTCTAAAATTAGCCTGCTCTAGCAATCAAGGTTAGCAAGAAATCCTTGAAGTTGCCATTAGTTGTGTCTTCAATTTTCTGGGATAAGGAAACTCCATACAAGCTTTGATATTCATCCATGATCTCCTTCATATCTGTGTCAGCTCGAGTAACAATCACACGTGTAAGAGCTTTCTTGGTGTTCTTATCTGCATCAAATCTCAATGCTGCATCCAGAACCTGAGGAACCAAAAAAAAAAAAAAAAAAGAAGGAAGAGATTACAGAAAATCATCTCAAGAACATACTTTTCATATAACTGATATTTAACTTGTAAACAGTTTCATCAACATTTATTTTTCTGTAAAACCAAACGGATAAAAACCACAGCAGTTTGGAGATTGAATTTAAATTTCTAATATAACATTACCTGAATAAAGTATGTTAAAGGGGAACAAAGGCATTGCACAGTCTCCTTTAACCTTAAGTCATCAAGATCCTAGCCAAAGGCAGAGAGGTTTGATCAGAAATAGAACTTCATAAGTGAATCCTTGAAATAAAAAAACAAAATCTTAAAGGGTTGAGGTCTAAACACTGAACATGAGGCTTACAACACACACACACACACACACACGTGTTAGTTTATAGTACGTCAGTAAGGTCTGATACCTCATCAAGGTTTTTGCCACATAATTCTTTATAGTGCTTATGAACTGCCTGGAGATGAGGTTTGCTTCTTGTTGCTAGTATCCTTATTACTTCCTCATCCTCGAGGATTGACTTCTCATGACCAGCCTGAATGGCAACAGAAAGTGCTTGGGCCTCTGATTTTGCAGTCTCGTCTTTAACCTTTGATCCTTCATATCTATAAGCACTCACAAGGGCAAACAAGAGCTGTTGCCAAAAGCAACATGAACCAAGTTAGAGAATTTTATTCCACTAAATGATAACATACCGAGAAAAATTGTTGTAAAGAGACTCGTAATCGTGTTAGAAGTAGGTCGGGATAAAAAGTGTACCCTGACATCCTTACATGTTTATTTATAACTGATCTGTTTCCAATCATGTTTATCAAAGGGAAAGACCAGTAAAAGCATCAAACATAAATGGGTGATAGTCAAATGAATAATATTAAGGTAGAATGAGGCTACGAAATAGGAGTATAAAGATATTCGCGAATACACAAGGACAAAAAATGTGAGTTTCAGTGTTGCACAACAAATGTGATTATATGCGTGTCTCTTTAATTAGTTTGATCTTCGTATTTCGTATAGATTAGATCTGCAAAAGAATATCTCAGGCATCAACCAATGAGAACAACAATAATTATTATGGGCAGTCTTGAATGAAGCCCTTAGAAGGGTGACACTCACCTTACGTTCCGCACCATCAATAAGAGAAACTATGTCTTCTTCAAGGGAACGGTCGAAAAGAGAATGGTAGGCCTTCCTAGCTCCCAAAAGCTCTTCTGAGGTCCTGGTGCATGCAATCTCAACTAGCAATCCATAGGCATGAGGACCCTTCTTCAGCGCTTCCTTTGCCAAGCGAGCATCTCGTTCCCACGGATGCATTGCCCACAGCACCGCTGCATTCTGACAAACACAAATGATACTTATATCATCTCCTTTTTCTGAATGATGCATGATGTGAATCTTGCTCAGTGATTCAGAATTTAGGTATATATTTGAATCGAATTTTGTATGACTTTTAAGTCCAATTCTCTAACAAATGAACATCATTGCTTGAGATTTGGTAGCAATCAGTTATAATGTTCTATCTTTGGACTCTTATGAGATTTACTTCCTTTTAAGTAACAATTCTTGCACAACTTTTTCTTTTCTTATTATTCTTAGTTGTTCCCCTGAAAAAGGTTCAGGCTTTATGCATGTGAGTGCGTAAGTATATTACAGGACAAAGCAGTGATTTTAAATTAAGGTTTCCTGCTAGCTTAAGACACTTGCAGAATAATTTGCAAAGAATAACAATAAGCAAAACTTAATTGTAGTCCTTTATAGACAATCATTTATCAATCTAGCTATTCATATAACTTCCTCAAGTGAGTCCCTCTAAGATGAGTTTCTGAATTCATGTACTGATATGTTAAAGATTACTATTGACAAATGGTTTGAGTAGAGAATGACTAGCTAGAAAAATGCCAGCACGACAGATACTGGAAGAGATTTTGATAAGTGGACAAGTTGAAAAATGATTTATGCATATAAGAAGTTGCATGAATATACCTTAAAACGCATGAATTCATGTTTTAGAAGTCGAACCCGACGATCATCCCACTTCTCAAATTGGCGTTCATCCTCTATGAAGAGATGCGGTGTTCCCTTCCTGAAAGCCTTCCTATTCTCCGGTTCCCATTTCCCCAAAATCGAAACCACTGATTTCTCATCAATTCCATGTCCTTTCATCGTCAACAACAGCAAAAGTCAATTCCCATACTCTGAAGCATCGGAAAAGTTTTTAACAATAAAACTATAAAATCTTCTGGGAATCTATCCCAAAAAGCTGCCCATTGCTGATATTGGACACCCTAAACGTGAATCCCAAATCAACTGGATCGTAACATTTTACCACGAAAACAGTTCAGAAATTCCAGTGAAATCCCACACCTCTCAAATTTATTGAGTTCGCACGCAAACTTCAAAGTAAAAGTAATTTACTAATCATAAATGTTAAAGAGAATGATTTGATTGGTATAATGGTGTTGGAGTAAAGAGTAGCGGAGAGGAACCTGAGAAAGCTTTGGTGAGAGCTTCTACCTCTTCGGGGAGCGCCATGGTGGGTTGAAGAGAGTGTGATTGTTCTCGCTTAATATTTATACGAATCTGTCGGGTCACTTTCGTCATTTGATCGTTTTCGTTTGTATTACCTTACATTCTGTGTTCTCGTTACATTAATTGCACTTCTAATTACGGTTCTGTAAAAAATTAAAATTAAAATTAAAACAACGTTTCAGAATAACAAGACAGCATTTCTGAAAAATATGTTACTTCCCTAGTCCTGTTTATAAGATAGAGAGAAAAGTTTTTTTTATCTTATTTATAAGTCACTTTATTAAATTTTTAGCATGAATATACTATTTTGTCCTTTATTTGTTATAGTGTGGGTAGCTATCTCTTTTAAAAGGTGTATATATATTACATATGGATAAAGTTAAAAAATTGTCATATTTCAATGAAGAATTAATGCATTTTAAAATTTTTTTTGTCTGTGTGAAATATATTAAAAGTGTCTTATAAATAAAATCAAAGGAGTAAAGTACACTTATGGAATACAAATGCTCTTAAAGACACATTAAGGTAATTAATTTTTAGAAACTTACTTGGTGACAAAACTGAAATTGAATCTGAAAACCCCCACAAAACTCTTCGAACATTCATTTAACTGTTACATAAGATCACGCAATTGTTTTTTTTTTTTGGGTTGAAATAAAAATAAAAGTAACCCGATGTTTAATATAATGAGAAAACTTAGGTTGATATATGCTAAAATTTGATTAGAAAATTGGATGCAATGAATATAAGTAAATGTACCTAAGTTTTACCTTTAATATACCCCCTCTGGTTTTTATTATCCGAACCTCCACTATGTTTCGTAATATTGCATGCTTTCGCTATTAAAAAACATTCTAACTAATTAACCAATTGGTTTTATTGAAAATAATCATGATATTTTATTAAAAAATAATTTCTTTAATACTTTATCTTTTGTGTTTTTCATTTTCTTCCTAACTAATTATATCTAATTTATAAATTGATATATAATATAATACTCTCTCTAGTTTTTATTATAAGTTTTAAATAACTAATTTATTAATAACAAACAATTAGTTAAAATTAGGTAAACATAATAAATAGGTTAGAAATAGGTTTTTGTTTCTAAATATGTCTTTATAATAAATGAGAAAAAATATGAAAGACATTATGTGGGAAAATGTGATAAGAGAAAAATAAGTAGAGGCAATATTAAAAAAATATACTCCTCCGGTCCTTATTATAAGACCCAATTTGACTTTTTATTTGGTCCTAATTATAAGACCTAATCCATTTTCTCTTTTATATTTATGCATTTTTTTCCAAGATAATCTTTTTAATAATGATAGTTTTAGCCAATATACTTAATTAGCAAGGATATTTTAGGAATAACAACACTTATTTATTATAAATAACCAATTTAATTTACTTCCTTAATCTCCTCAAATAAGTCAATTGGGTCTTATAATTAGGACCGGAGGAGTATTAAATATTAAGACAAATCCAAATTAAAGCTCATAAAATAAACCACACTTTTTTTTTTCAATTTAAAACTTATAAATAGGACCGAAGGTCGTATTATATAAAAATATTTTAAGAAAATTTTCTTAGTTTTCCTAAATTAGTAAAACAACTCCCGGGTGAATATTAGATAGTTATAAGGAGAGGCCAGGAGGGAGCAACTACACCAGTGTGTAATGAATATGGCGTTGTTTATTCATTTGTATGAAACGGTCACAACTTCTGCGTTTCAGATATGTCTGACAGTTATGAACAGTAAAAACAGGCGAAATGGAACAACAATGAAGATTCTGAAAAATTATAACTTGGGATTTTCTAATTACCAGAAACTCATTTCCTGCAAGAGAGCAAAATCATCAAAATCTCCCAAAAGAAATGAGTACTCTTAGAGTTCCAGAGATTGTTCCTTGCCCTGCCCATGATTGCGAGCGACTCCGAAAGGCTTTCGAAGGTCTCTTTCTCTCTTCCTTCACTCTTTCTTAGTTTCCTATTCTTTGGAAATGATCGAAAAAAGATGAAAGTTGCATTGTTTTAGCTCCTATAAGATAGATGTTGTAATGAAAATACAAGAATTATCAACCCCATTGATATGATCCTCCTGGTAACTAAAATCGGTACTTCACAGAGCTCACCACAGGATTGTATGGCTCATGTTTAAGAGATTTTAATTGCAAATCACAGGAACTAAACTAAATTGATAGATCACGCATCCTTTAAGAATTTCATGGTAGTTTTCTCTTTTTATGATTCATGGGCATTCAATGTACGATGTTGCAGGATTTTTGACGGATGGGGAGGAAGTAATCTGGGTATTAGGACACAGGAATGCCAAGCAAAGGAAGGAAATCAGAGAAACTTATCAGCAGCTATTCAATGAATCACTTATCGATCGCCTTCGTAAAGAACTCTCCAGCAATTTCAGAGTACATCATGCTTCTTCTTGTCTGCTTTTTCTATGTTAAAATTCAAGGCTTAATCTATCAACATTTTATTCACATATATACATATATACCCTATATGTTAAAAGTTTCTAAGGCACACACGTAGGATAAATGGATATCGTAGGTAATTTACAATAATTTCTTGTCAATTCAATTTCATATCAATATGAACATCATTAATGCAGTCTGCAGATGTGCTATATTAGTATAAAGTGATGTCTGCTACCTGGTCAAGAAGATTCATAGTGATAATAAACATAATGTGCTTGTAAAATTTCAGTTCTATTATAAATCGTGATATATCAGTGAGAACGTAGCTCATCTGGTATTGGGCTATGCTAGCTTAACTAATCATCTCGGGTTCAAGCCCTGGGAATGTGGCTGCATTAAAACTCAGAGAGTTTTGCTCTGACGTGGCTCACCTATTTTGGGTGGTTTGATTTGAAATAAAACAGGCAGATTTTATTTCTGAAATAACATGAGATCCCACTATATTCTACTGCAACTCAGAATTTTACATAACAGGATGCAGTAATTCTGTGGACATATGACCCTCCAGAAAGGGATGCACACCTAGCAAACAAGGCATTGAAGGATAAGAGAAAAGATGTCTCATGCCTACAGGTTCTACTTGAAATTGCATGTGCATCCACTCCTAGCCATCTAATGTCTGTGAGGGAGGCTTACTGCTCTATCTTTGATTGCTCCCTTGAAGAGGACATTGCATCCTGTGTTTCTCAACCTATCATCAGAAAGGTAAAACAATGGAGTCTCTCAATCACCTGACAAAAGCATTTATCTAATTAATTCTGTCCGCTCAGGCAAGTGTCCTTTCCTGATGAGAAAAGCTCATCATATACACCCTATATCATAATCTCAGACTCAGGTCTCAGAATCTGATTCTCTGAAGTTGGTGTTTTTGAAATTCTTGAAGTTTAACAGCAAGTAATATGCTTTATGTCTATTTTTCATTAAAATTATATGCAATGCAAAGTATGCACCTTTAACTGCAGAAACGTTAAAGGATCCAGATCCCTCAGGTCTCATATAGAAAAGAAGCATAAGAAGCAAGAATATAATGCATTTATAAACTTTAATTTCCACATACTAATCCTGAACAGGTTGCTTCCTGTGTAAAACCTGTGCCAGGTTGACCGAGGGTTGAACTATGTGTTCAAGGTCCTAATATCATCATCTCATACATTACATGCACGCATGTGGTAAAATTCTTTAATAGCATTATCACCACACAAAAAAAAAAAACAAAAAAATCCTTTAACAGCAACTCATGAAAATTGAGACATACACTGTAGAGAGAGTAAATTTCTTTCTTTAAAAACATGGAATTCTAAGTAACAGTTATTCTACTGATATCTATTAGTTCATGGACTCAACCGAACATGTAATCATGTCACAATTTTCAGCTGCGCTCAAGTTTCACATTAACAGTTTAACTTCCAATGTTCTCTATGGTTTCTTGTGGATATATAATCTGGGTACTGTGCAGCTTCTAGTGAACCTAGTAAGATCCTACAGATATGATAAAGAGGTTGTAAACTTGGAGGTAGCAGAGTCAGAGGCATCGAGATTGCATGTAGCAATCAACACAAGGCAGTTAGATGATGATCAACTCATTTGGATACTTAGCACCAGGAACTTTTTCCAGCTCAGGGCAACTTTTGCATGCTATAAGAAACTCTATGGGATTGCATTTGAAGAGGTTTGACTTGGAATCTAAAGTTTTTATGTTTACCTATTTTGTAAAGAACTTAATGATTGGGCTGATGTTCTCTGCAGGATATAAAGAAATGTGGTAATGGTGATTTGGAATCTCTCTTGAATGTAGCATTATTGTGTGTAGAATGCCCTGAGAAACATTTTGCAAAGGTATTTTCTTCTTCATACCAAATTGATGTACATCATAGCTTATATTTTTTTGCCAATAACAATTGGATCAAGCATGGTTGCCTTTTTTAAAATATAGAAGTTATGCTCAGAAAATTCCTTCCATTCAGGGAATTGAGATGTCCTCAAATTTAAGATGGTTGTATCATATACTCAATAGTTTTTTTCTTCTTTTTGCTTATTCTTACTAGAAAAAATTCTGTTTGAGGCATGGTCGAATACTAAATATGAGTATCTTTTCTAGTGAGAATTCAAACTTTTGTTTGTCTCGTTGTAAATGACTAGCTTTTTCTGTTGAATCCAACCCTGATTGTAGTTTTCAGTCAAAAGAAAATATCATTTTGTTAACTAATGCTCAAAGTGATGTGTTTCTGGTTAAAGCTTTTTTTTTTTTTTTTCCCATTTGATTCATGTGCAGGTGCTGAGAGATTCTATAATTGGGCTGGGAACTGATGAAGAGTCCCTAAACAGAGCAGTGATAAATCGATCAGAGATTGACATGTTGAGAGTGAGAGAAGAATATGCAAACATGTACAATGAAGATCTTGAAGGAGCAATCATTAGGGATACTTCAAGTCACTACAAAGAGTTCTTGATGACTTTGCTTGGCAAAAGAATCTGATGCATTATAATTGTCAACCCACCAAGCAAGTTTCTTTGAATTCTAGTTAAGTAGTTCATGGTCTGCACTTTCTAACACAAGTAGTTCCATAAGTTCCAAGTCTCAGAACTGTCAGGTAGAAACTTAAACCATGGAAGGTTGACTATTTTTTTTTAGATAAATTATGACTTGACCTTTAATCTCTGCTCTATAAGAAATGAAGAATGTTCAAGAAACACTGCTTGTTTAATTTACCAGATAATTTATTGCTATAACTGCTAACAATTTCAGATGGTCTTTTTTTTTTATCTGAATTTCAGATGGTCTTTGGGCTTCGTATTATAATCACTTTTAAAGTGTTGTTATGTTTTATCACATAATGTTTCATCAGAGTGTTATTTTATTTTATTTTCATTTCTATGACAACATACCAAACATATTTTCAAAACTCATTCTAATCCCTATTCTCAATTCCATTCTCTCGAAATTCAATCCACGTACCAAACAAATCATAATATATATATAAATTGATTTCAAGTTAAGTAAATTAATTAAAAAAATTATAAATATAAGAGATAAAGTGGATTAATATATTTTACACAAAAAAAGTATATTGAGGTATATTTATAATCAAATCCAACAACCAACTCTTATATTAGGGATCAGAGAGGATAATAATTAATTTATAACGCACTGCAAGTTATAAAACAGAGGGACCTATTTTTCAAGATTATTCTTTAAACAATGTAAAGAGCCCACCTAGTTTGAAAAATGAATGCGTGCCGTCAATTTTATGCAACTTGGTCCCTGCATAAAGGAGTTAAACTACCAATAAAGGTGGCGTGAGGCAAATGTAGGTTGCATTATTAATTAATATAAATATACATTTTTGGTAGGTACAAATATTACCCTATTAGAGGTAATCTTGCTCGAAATACTATCAGGCATTAAATTTAGACACTTCTTCTAGTAAGTATTCAAATAGTAATTTGTCACATTGTAAATGACTAATATTTTTTATAACCTAACCCTGTTGGTTATATATATATATATACTACTTCCAGTCTTAATTATAAGACTTTGTTTGTAGACTATAAATGAGGATTTATAATTAGGACTGGAAGGAGTATGTGTGTGTGTATGGTTGCTCAAACTATATACACAAGTGACCAGACCCTACAGTTTAATACTCTCATCTCCTAAATGATATTATTGGCTATTGCATATATATATATATATATATATATATATATATAATATCGATCATACAAAAGACCATCTGGAAGCATGTGGACAGATAATACGTCACTTTCTTGGTAGCTCTCTCACTTGGTTGCCACTCTCCAGTACATTTTTTTGTGCAGCATCATCTTCGTAATAGAGATGAGATGAGAAATCATCCAAATCTACTTTATCAAGATTTAAAGTTTTTTTTTAACTTATTAAACAATAAATTCATTTTCAAAAACGATTATTCAAAAAATTGACTCCAAATTATTGGACATCGATTAAAATAGAAGATATTAAAATTTTAAGAATAAAATAAAATAAAATCATTTTAATTTAATTAGACTATAGTCCAGACAAGGAATAAACTCTCTAGTGTTCGACACTACACAACAATAACAACAAAAAACATTACCTTACTAAGTCGATGTTTCTCGTAATGTTATTATGATTTATCAACAACCAAATTTTTTTTTGGAATAAATTATTAATCAGAAGGCCCCGGCCCATTTAATAAATTCATTCAATGTCTTTCCGGTTCTCTTTTACCCCTTCTCAGAGAATTGCATATTGCCTCATCTATATATCCTTTTTATTAGCACCTCCAATAACCTTCTTTGTGTATATATTTGAACCACCTCAGGTGGTTTTCCTTTTTTTTTTTATAATCATTTTCACTTGAATAGACACCACTCTAATTTTTTTCTTGTGTATATATGTTCAACAATATGATATAGTGCTAAATCTGTCTTGGAAGTTGTCTTGAATTCCAACACCTACCCCCTTGAATGTTCCAAATCATATACGCCCATTCTTTGAACTTCAGATCACAGAACTATACCTAACTAGATGAATTATGCCATCATATACATATGAAAAAGAAAAGAACAAAGTCATCAGTGGGGGAAGAGCTACCTAGCCAGCAAGGCGGCTAAGAAGCTCATTTAATGGAGAGAATGGACTCTCAACAACAAAATCGGTGACTAATGCCATTGAACTATATCTAACCTCGAAACTACTCAAATTAATAACAGCAAAATCAGGCATCATGCAACCTCAAGAAGGTCATTTGTTGGTGATAATCAAAAATTAGCTAAGCAACTTGCTTTTTCTTTGCTATATATAGCAGTGCCATTCTGCAGCTATACTACCACTCACTCAAAGCTTTTTCTCTTTGCTTAATTTGCCACATATTTATCTTCAAGTGTGTGGCATTTATTAGTGAGTTTCAGAAAATGAAGAAAGCTGTTAGCTTCACTTTGCTTTGTGCTTTGTTTCTTCTTGTCAGCTTCTCTTCCTTTTCTTCTGCAGCAAATGACTTTCCAGGTGCCTGCTTCTATATATTCTCTCTTTATTAGTTTTTCTGCTATAACAATTTTGGTAATTGGGTTCTGACACTTGTTATTTACATCTTATATAGAAGAAACCAAGTGAGTTTTAGAATACACTAAATTCAACCAAAAGTTGCGAATGGAGAATCTTAATTCACTTCAATTTTGTCTTTAGGAATAAATATGTCCCATAAATTTTACAGTTCCCAGTTAATCTGTTTCGTTGATATATATATATATTTATTTATTTATTTTTCTATTTCATGGGGATAATATGTTTGCATCATTATCTATTGATTAGTTAGACTAACTGAAATTCTGCACAACTGTTTCTGCAGGGAATGAAGTAAAAAGTCATGAAGACGAGGAAAAGTTCAAGTTTATTCCACATCATAAGCCATTCTTCAAGAAGCCATTTTTCAAGATCCCACCAAAAGTTCCATTGAAGCCATTCCCAGTTGTTGGAAAACCAATTCCAGTGAATGATGAGAAGCCATTGCCAATTCCTGGATTCAAGAAGCCTTTCCCCAAGCCATTCCCATTTGTGAAGAAGCCATTTCCCAAACCATTTATTCCAAAGCCAATTCCTTTTGTGAAGAAGCCGTTTCCCAAGCCTCTTCCAAAGCCGATTCCTTTTGTGAAGAAGCCATTTCCCAAGCCTTTTCCAAAGCCAATTCCATTTGAGAAGAAACCATTTCCCAAGCCTTTCATTCCAAAGCCAATTCCTGTCCATGATGAGAAGCCTTTGCCAATCCCTGGATTCAAAAAGCCATTCCCTAAGCCTTTCGTTAAGCCAATTCCTTTCTTTAAGAAGCCTTTCCCATTCCCCAAAAAGCCCTTCTTCCCTCCAGTTAATCCTTGAGACACACCATGAATATTCCTAAAGCCTAATTAAAACATATCCTTCCATATAATTGGAAATAAAAGAAGAAGAAAACAGGCACTACATGTCCATTATATCTTTTAAGATTGATTCACCTGAATTTTCAGAATTAATAGTATATCTATCTCTGCTGTATGTGTATTGTATTTGCATTATGAAGAGTATTGCTGTTATAAATAAAGCTTCCAAGAGCTATATATGTTATGTACACAGAAATCCATTAATTAAATATGTCATCATTGTTGGTTCTTTCTCACTCTCTCTCTCTCTCTATATATATATATACACTCCTATATATATTTATTATTAATAAATACGATCCCTAAGGCTTTGCTTAATAGTTAGGTGCTTTAAATTAAATATTGTGGGCGAAGCAAAGAATTAATAAGGGCAAGCGCAGCAAGAAGAAGAACGGCCCTACTTGCACGCAGTGAATTAACCTGGGCATATATGTAGATGAAAAACCCAGAATTTATTGAAGTAAATATCTAGTACTTTCGAAGACTGACAAGAAAAATCTAACTGAAATATCAAAAAGCACCAGCAAAAATGAGACCAAGGTTAAAAATAAAACAAACACGAAGGCATTTTCTAATGATTTAATTAATTTTAATCTCCTACTACAGAAAACTATATGCCAAAAAAAGTAAACTTTCATAACATAATATATAATCTTTATAATTATAACTCTCTGAAGCCACATCGTCATCCCCAGGCCAACATCTTTAAAGGCATTTTAAACACAGTGCAACACATACATCCAACAATAATGAAATTTAATTTACCCGAAACTGAATAAAAATTGCACACTGGCTTTCCATTTACTGTGGGGAAAACTCAACTATACAATGTGTGCCAGAAACAAGCTTCTCCCTAGAAGTTAATTTTCATTTTTATTTGCACTTCCAGAGGACTCCATAGGGAAACAATTCTTCTCCACCCAGTGTTTTATCAAGACTTCTTTAAGAATCATTTATTAATTTATGTTCTCATTTAAACAAAATCTAGATTTAATGTAGTGATTGTCATATGCTGCCAAATGATACGGAGTAATGATTGTTTTGACTTTTGAGCAAGGAGATAGTGAAGAAAAGCATTTTCATAATATAATTATGTATGTTATGAGTATTTTTATGATTCCCCACATATTTGATAATATTTTCATATATTTCCAAGAGTTATTTGGGGAGTCATCATAGCACTTTATGTGAAAATTATGAAATTATCAAGAAATATTTGAGCCTGGATTTTTAGGAGATCATGATAATGACAATATAATTTAGTGGACTATTGGCTTAATATGGACATAAACTAGCTGATCAAATTAAAGAGGGGCAGGAAATCAAAGCAAAATCCCTACAGAGAAATTGCACTATGTATGATGCTATTGCTTTTATGATTAATTAAGTTCATAATAATTACCAATAAGCTGTTAATTGAGATGATAAACAGTTTTACTTCCATAAAAAGAAAAATACAAGTATAAATTTCAAAAAATGCACTTATTAGAAGACTTTAACCTTAACATTCTTGACCTGATAGATATTAGTATTAAATCTAAAATGACTTGAGATACTCTTGGTTATACAATTAAAAAAAAAAAAAAGGTAGCTCATGATAGCTTTAGTTTAAGAGGAAATTAACAATACAAGACTAAACAAGGATAAACCCAACATTAAAAGTATCAAACTAGAGGGAAAAGCGAGTAGATTCACCATTTATTTATGTTTAAACGTTTAATGAGGTAACATATGTAGACTTTCATACAAGTCTTCAATTTTTTTTATGAAACTTGCGATCAATCGATCAATCGCCGACCAGATGTCACATGATTTAAGATCAAGACTCAAGAGGTGATGACGAGGATCATGTGAAATTTAGTTAGACATTAAAAAGATTCTAACAAAGTATCCAATATCTCAAACTTTTCCCAATCCTGCACTCTCTTACGAAAGGCTTCATACTTTAATCAATATAAGTGGCATTTAAATTCCAGCAAGTTTCTTATTATAACCACCCGCATTGATATATGCATGTTTGGACATTAGAACACAGAAGACAGAACTGTACGTAATCAGAGACCAAAAGAAAAACAACACACTCATTAATAAGCAAGCTACCAAACCCAGCTAACTAACAAGCTCATTTAATAATGGAGAAAATGAAATATCAACGAAAACTTCGGTGACTATATAATATATATAAAAAATTTCAACAAACGAATGGTCTGTAAACCTGTAATCTCAGACTATACAATAATAACAGTAAACACCGCCCCATGAAACTGCCCATCAACAAGCTAAGTGATGTGTTATTAGTGATTCATCCAAAGCCTATCTGGCTTCCCTATATATAGAGCAGTGCGATTCTGCGATATATAGTATCAAATAAAGCCTTTAACTTCTTTGCCTATATATATATATATATATATTGAAGATTATATTGTGTCATATATTGGTGTAATCAGAGTCTCTCACCCATGAAGAAAGAAGAGTTCCACAATGGATTGCCTTCTTTTGCGCTTCTTGGTGCCTTTGTTTCTT